AAACTTCAGTAATCTCACTAAAGATCAGAGAGAAGTGTGGATTCAGAGCAACAGAAAATGCTGGAAATGTGGAAGGAATCATCAAGCTGCTCAGTGTAAGCTGAAAGCCAGATGTAGTACATGCAATGGCAGACACTTGGAAGCCCTTCATGATGTAAATGCAAGACCAGTAAAAGAGGAGACTCCTCCACACTCATCTAGTGAGGTTTTGTATGTGGACCGACCAACAGCTTTCAGCCATGTACTACACAAGATGAGTAAGGTCATCTTGCGGAATGGCAACCATAATGTGGAGACATTTGCCATTTTGGACGACGGTTCTGAAAGAACCATTCTTCTYTCTGCTGCAGCACAGCAACTTAAACTCCATGGTAATCATGAGGATTTAGCCTTGAAGACAGTCAGACAAGACATTCGAGTTGTCCAAGGCGAGTCAGTTTCCTTTACAGTCTCACCAGCTTCAAATCCCAAGAAAAGGTATGAAATAACAGGAGCCTTTACAGCAGAGCATTTAGGCTTAGCAGAACATTCACACCCAGTTGCCACRTTACAAAGTAAATATGCTCACCTGAAGAACCTCCCCCTCACTTCATTCCATCAAGTGAAGCCACTCCTCTTGATAGGTTCAGACTATCCACATTTAATCACACCAATCGAYCCTGTAAGACTTGGACCCCCTGGTGGTCCTGCGGCTATTAAAACCAGACTGGGATGGACTCTACAGGGTCCTACAAGCTTGTTAAAAGAGCAGCTTCCCACACAGGTTCAGTGCCTTTTCACATCCACACGCTCTACAGACTCTGACTTGATGAAGAATGTGCAACAACTCTGGCAATTGGATGTGCTGCCCTTCAGAAATGAAAAGGTGATTATGCGATCACAACAAGATCATCAGGCAGTTATGCTTCTAGATGAGAAAACTGCAAAGGTGACTGTCAACAGTGTTAACAGGTATGCAACCCCGCTTCTTCGCAACATAAATATGCCCACATTGCATGCTGCTAAAGAAACTGTTTTGCCACTGTTAAGACACACAAAGGAAAATACAACACCTTACGAAGAAGTAAGGAGGGTTGTGGAGAACAACTTCTACATTGACAACTGCTTGTATAGTCTGAGTTCTAAGGAAAAGGCAAAGGAGTTAGTTGACAGGCTTCAGTCACTACTTCTCTCTGGAGGGTTTGAACTCAGACAATGGGCAAGTAGTGTCCCTGAAGTTATAGCTCATCTTCCAGAMGAAGCCAGAAGTGGCAGCAACGAGCAATGGTTGGCCCAGAACAATCTAGATCAGCAAGAAATGGCACTCGGTCTGCGCTGGGATTGTGAGAAAGATGAGCTGGGTTACAGATATCGTTCAGTGCCAGAGAAAAGACCAACAATGCGCTACATTTACAAAGTTCTGGCAAAACAGTACGATCCACTTGGTTTCATTACACCCTTTACCACAAGAGCAAAGATTATTGTTCGACACTTATGGGATAAGCGTAGAGAGTGGGATGACCCTCATTTGCCTGAAGARCTCCTTAAGGCATGGTACAAATGGGAAGGAGAGCTGGAACACCTCCCCCGAATAACCATCCCACGGTGCTACAGTAGCCCTGAAACAGATATYCAGGACTGCAACAAGACTCTCCACATATTCTGCGATGCATCTGAACAAGCTTACGGCTCCGTCGCATACCTTCGCACAGAGAAAGCAGACCGAAATGTGGAAACAGCTTTTGTGATGGCAAGATCCAGAGTGGCCCCCAAGCGGCAGCAGAYCATTCCAAGACTGGAACTCTGCGCTGCTCTGACTGGTGCACAATTGGCAAAAATGCTAATCACTGAATTGACCATACCAGTACAAGAAGTTGTACTCTGGTGTGATTCCACAACTGTGCTAAAATGAATCCAGTCAGACTCGTGCAGATTTAAAGTTTTTGTCGGAACCAGAGTGGCTGAGATCCAAGAACTCACCAGTTCTATGATCTGGCGATATGTAGACTCGCTTAATAACTCGGCTGATGACATCACTCGGGGAAAATCTCTGGAGTCCCTTATCAACTCGAACAGGTGGAGTRAGGGCCCAGCTTTTCTCTTGCTTTCACCAGACCACTGGCCTAGTCCTCCTGAATTGAGGGATGTGGATGAGGGTGAACTGAAGACCGCAGCCTTCTGTGGAGCCACAATGCAGATTGCAAATTCCATATCTGATGCAGATAAAGTATGTTCCTTTCAAGAACTCATCAAACGCACAGTGCTATCTGCTAACGGGGCGGCTCCTTTCCAACATCACCCCTCAGTGGACGACTACAAGGATGCAGAGTTGACGATTTTACAGCAGACTCAAATGGACTGTTTTCCAGATGATTATCAGCTGCTGCGAGCAGGAAAAACTGTGCCACCCTCAAGCAGACTTGRTAAACTGGCTCCAGAGTATGACACAGAGATTAAACTAATCAGAGTTGGTGGACGTCTGCGACATAGTGAATACCTGGACACAGAAGAAAAGCATCCCATTTTGTTAGATGGCAACCATCCTGTCACTAAACTTATCATTAAACAGTTTGATGATAAGCTCCATCACCCAGGGCAGGAAAGAGTGTTTTCTGAACTACGWAGACACTACTGGGTCATCAAAGGAAGGGAAGCAGTCAAACGAATTCAACGAGAATGTCCACTCTGTCAAAGGTGGCGTGCAACACCAGTGCTCCCTCAGATGGCTGATCTCCCAGCAGCAAGGTTGCGCCTGTTAAAACCACCCTTTTACTCATGTGGAGTTGATTGCTTCGGACCATTCCTTGTGAAGARTGGCAGGAGAAACGAAAAGAGATGGGGTATTCTTTTTAAGTGTCTCACAGCACGAGCAGTTCACATTGACATCCTCACAAACATGACCTCTGATTCATTCTTYATGGCTCTCAGGCGTTTTGTATCAAGGCGAGGAAAACCATCGGAATTGCTCTCTGATTGTGGGACAAACTTCAAAGGAGGTGAGCGAGAGCTACATAAAGCCTTTCAGGAGATGTGTCCTACAATTCAAGACCACCTCTCCAAACAACAGATAATGTTCAGCTTCAACCCACCTGGTGCGCCTCATTTTGGGGGAGTTTGGGAGCGTGAAGTACYATCAATCAAGTCAGCGCTAAGAGTATCCCTTGCAGCTCAGACTGTCACTGAAGAAGTTTTCAGAACTGTGCTCATTGAGGTCGAGGGGGTACTAKACTCCAAGCCACTGGGCTATGTTTCGTCAGATATCGCAGACTTGGATCCRGTAACTCCAAATTACCTACTGATGGGACGACGAGATGCTTCATTACCACAGGTAATCTATCCTGAATCAGATCTGTTAACCAGGAAACACTGGAAGCGCAGTCAGATGATTGCAGAACAGTTTTGGCATCATTTTATAAGAAGTTACTTACCCACCTTACAGTCACGTCAGAAATGGTCAACTAAYACAGAAAACCTTCAACTTGGAACAGTGGTAATGATACTTGACAAACAACTACCCAGAGCATTATGGCCTGTTGGAAAGGTTGTAAAACTTCTACCAGGACAAGATGGAACTGTTCGAACAGCCGAAGTACAAATTAAAGACAAGACTTACATCAGACCAGTGGCACGACTTGTGCGTCTTCCAGCCATTCCAGAGACTGACGATAAGAATGAGAAGTCATAACTTGGATTTCTCCATTTTCTGTTATTCAAATTTGTAAGACAAATTTGGGGGCGGCTGTTGAAAATAGACTATTGTAACGATGTGTATATCACTTTAAGAGCTCAGRAAGCTGTCTGAGTAATGTCTGCTGTGATTGGCTCATTGGAATTTCAGGCTACCAATAGCTGTTACTGCTGTTGGAGCACATGTTCAGTGTTGGATAATTAGAAGTTCACTAGTAATCGACAGAGATCATTAAAGCTGTTTGTTTTAAGATTGTTCAAGAGCCTGGGAGCGTGTCAATGKATAAAAGTAAGTTCCATTAGTATCTAGGTAGGATTTGGGTATGTGTGTAACTTAAGTATATATACGTTTGGCAATTTAAAGAGTTAATATTATGACAATGTGTTTGTGAATCATTTGTAGTCTCTTGTTGCTATCTGCTGGACAAATTGGGAATAACTATTTGGTGTGAGTAAATAGCTTTCATTTTATTTGTTTTCTGTATTTCTTGTAGACCACTCTCAGCTCTATTAAAGAAAGTTTGGACCTGCAATCTCTCCTCTCGTCCTTTACCGGATGCTTGTGGTGGCTGTACCTTAAGAACTAACACTTTCATAAAGGGAGCACAACAAACATGAAATCCGAGGCAGTGATTGGTCCATGTTGGGGTTTTTTCTAACTACGTCATCCAGGATCATCTTTGCGGCACAGCCAGGTGTCGCAAATCAGCTCTAAGACTGACACTTAAGAATTACTCCTACACTTCGCTTAAAGTAAGACTGAGAGGCTTGATAACTGACTTATTCTCAGCTTTTTTTACACTTAAGTCCATTCTTAGCAGCATTCTTGAGTAGTCTGACCCAGTTCTTTTCAGTATACTGAAGCAGATGTTTTTCAAAGTGACTGTTTACACATTTCATCTGACTTTTATATCAGTGAAGTGGGGGTGAGCGGATCGATAAAATAATAAAGACACTATGAAGATTCTCTCATCATTTTAAAAACAAAAATAGAGCAGTGATCACTAAATAGGAGTAAGAAAGAGTGACTCCAAATGGGTATGATTTTTATTTGTTTTAATTCTTTCATTCTTGGTCTTGCATAAATATTATATAATATTAAACATATAAAACCCCAGGGAAAATGAAGAAGGACGACACAGTGGTACAGTGGTTTGGGCTCCTCACCATTCTGGGTAGAGTTTGTAGTTTTTCTCTGGGTCCACTGGTTTCTTCCTGCAGACCAAAAGCATGCATGTTAGGTTCATTAGAATTAGTAACTGTAAATTATGTTACAGTGGGTATGGTAAATGATAAATGTACTGTACTTGTATAGCACTTTTCTATCCATCCAGGACACTCAAAGTGCTTCACACTACAATCTGTGTCCTCATTTACCCATTCACACAGCACTCTATTAGGCCTACAAAGCTAACATGTACAATAATCTGGAGACTAATCAGTGCCAATCACATTCATACACTGATGGGACACACCAGAGGCATTAGAGGTGAAGTGTCTTGCCCAAGGACACAACAACTTAGTCAGCGGGACAGGGGATCGAACCAATGACCTTCCGGTTCCAAGACAACTCCCCTTTTCCACAGCCACACTCAATGATAAAAAAATATAATTTGGATTTTACAGTTTTACAGTTTTAATACAGATACACTTAAAGATCATCGGTTTTATAAATACATTTGAAATGACAAAATAATCTCAAAACAAGAGATAAACAAACAAGACTTCAATAATCTGCCATGTTTACAGCTAAGACATGTAGAATATTGAGCTGACAACAATGCAACCCTGGAAACAGACAGGCTTTTTCTAATAGGACTCAGTCATATTAAATTGCTCTTAGAACATATCAGAAGGCATGAGTAGGAGTAAGTTTACAGTGAAGCAGAGGCACCACAGTGAAGATGTGTTTATTGTGTTTTCCTCGTATTGTGTATATGAAGAAAAGGCAAAGATAATGGTTTAAAATTTGTCCTGAGCTCTGAGAAAATTACAGGGATGCAAAAATAGTCTCTGTGTTTGACTTTATTTCAAAAACCATAATGGCATCAGTTTTCACAACAAACATGATGCACAGAAAAAAATTATTTTTGGGTGTAATAACATTTATTTAATTATTCTTTTAAATTTTACAAAAACATATCAAAATTTCTAAACTACTAGAATTTACTAAATAAACAATTTGCATTATATTATAC